TAGTAGCTCTCCAGATGGAAAGGACTAAAGTCGTATATGATAAGCCTATTTACGCCGGATTTTGCATTTTGGACATATCCAAGACTCTCATATACGACTTTTTTTACGGCTATCTAAACGCTAAGTACGGCGACAAAGCCGTCTTACTCTACACCGATACCGACAGCCTCGTTGTCCAAATTTTTTGCGAAAATTTCTACGAAGATATGAAAGAAAATTTGGACAAATTCGATACTTCTAATTACTCGGAGAACAACCAACACGGCATTCCTGTAAACAAGTCCGTTCTTGGTAAAATGAAGGACGAGTACGCAGGACGGCCGTTGTGGGAATTCTTGGGTACGGGAGCGAAAGCTTATTGCGTAAATGTGGACGGCAACGAGTTGACCAAAAAGGCCAAGGGCGTTGCTGACTCGGTCAGCCAGCGCGAACTTAGTCTCGACGACTATAAGCGCGCTGTCCACGAGGAAGGCACGCTAATCTTGCGCCAAATGTCTTCGTTTCGCTCACATTTACATGATATGTACGTCGAACTGAAAAATAAGGTGGCGTTGTCTTACGCGGATGACAAACGACATCTTATACCCGGCTCAGAGTACACGCTAGCTTGGGGCCATCGAAATTTAGTTGGTTCAAAGGACAGCGGGAAAATCACTGATTGATCGACCACCAGATATTTCTTTTGGCAAACTAATATGTTACGATTCCTTTAGATGATTGTAGTTTATATTTGTGTTTAATTTATGTATCTATTTATGTCCATATATGCTATTTATATATGCATATCGTTCGATTATATTTATTAATATGTGTCTATCCTGATGGGGTTTTGTAAATGATTAATAAAACAATTTGTTCGATATTAGTGTCATTAAACGTCTTTTTCCCTGTTGCATTTTATTTAATCCGCAAAAAAAAAAAATGTTGTCAATAAATTATTATATTTTAAGCGACCTCGACGACCTTTTATTAGTTGAATTCTCTTATCGTCGCCGCCGAAATCGTCGTCGGCTAGGCTCGGCTAGGCTCGACTAACGTAGCGCGCGGGGTTCGAGGTTCGAATCCCCCGACCGCGCGCGACACACCGGTCGCTTTTTTCATCTCGCGCAAAAATACGTCAAAACAAAAAGGCACTAACGCAAAAACTACCCCTAGCGGGGCGAAATTGCCAAAAAGGCACTAACGCGAAAACTACCCCCTACCCCCCATTCAGGGTGACATCTGGCGATCGAAACCTGAGCTCTTAATGGGTGGCGACATCTCTCGTAGAATGGTCAAACTATTTTTATTTTTTTTTTTCGGTTGCTTGGGAATCTGTAAATTTGCAATCACAAAATCTCCCCCGGGGGACGGGGGATGGTCAAGTCACGAATAATTACTACTTATATTACATGCTTAGAAATTTCGACACAGAGAGCTGAACCATAAACATTGACAAAACTTGGAAATGTACAGAATGTTCATTTATAATGTCTACTCCTTTAACTTTTTTATTTAAGGTTTGGGAAAGAAACGCCAAACACAAAAGTTGTTCGAAAACAGTGAGCTATTTGCAAGATATATTTGTTGCAGAAATTACCCACAGATTAAAGTTATGTTTTTTTTAATAAAACACTGTATAATAAACGCTTAATAAAATCACCTAAAAATTATGCACATTCCTTGTATAATAGGTCCTTTACCCAAATCCAATGATTTTTGCGAAATATGCGCTTTTAATATAAAAGCAACAATCAAAAATAAAATAATATTCCAGAATTTTTTTTGGCTGTGAAGTAGGTCGTCGCAAAAATCCAAAATGTTTATAAGTGACAGTTACCAGTTACAGATTCAGCAAAAATTGCATTCTTCTTATTATAAAATGCCTTATTCTAAAAGAGAAAAACAATTAATTTTGGAAACGTTTGTAAAAGCAAAGAGTTCTAAATTGGCTCACAGGGAACTACATGTAATTAACCTCCAAATGCATGTTCAAAACAAAAAAAACCTTTTGTCGAATCTATGAAAAATTTCAACGAACATCCAGCCTAGCCAGAGAGAAGAGAACATTGGAAAGAGATGAAATGAGATTGCTAAACAAAGTACGAAATGAGCACATAAGGAACAAGATGAATATAGCAACATGAATTGTAGACACACTAGAACGAAATGCACATTTTTTACCACGGAGAAGGTCAAAAACATTTGGTTTCAACAAGATGGGGCTCATAATTCGAAAATATCTATCAAATAGACTTCCTGGCCTGCAGTATTGCCAAATCTTATCTTTGAAGAACATAAAATAACAACGTAATTTTCAAACAGAGGAAGATTTACTTCAGCTTGTTTTAGAAGCATTTGAAACCATCACACCACATGTACTTTAATAATTGTGACTGTAAATATTACATATTATATTAATAAAATATACTAATCAATATTAGTTTATCAACAATACAGATTAATTATTGGATTACATAACATATATATAATTTTTTTTTTAATTTTATTCCAATGTAAATTAGTAATTAAAGAAATTTGGTTTAATTTTTTTTATATTATTGGCGGTTTGAATAAACATAAACTTTGCTTTTTCCAAATGTCTGTTTGGCTTACTATACAGAAAAATAAAAATTTGTTTTTGTGAACCTAAAAATGCTTAATGCTCTATCTAATAATAACATTATTTTATATGGCGCACATAAAATAAATAAAAATTCTGTTTTAATAATGTATAAATTCTAAGATCATGTTTGGCGTACTGGTCTTGCGCACAAAAATAGTAAATCCAGCTCTTTATATTTTCTCCAATTTCTCAAAAGAAAATCAAATTAATAAAATTCTTTAAAGCCCTTCTCATTTCATTCATCTCCTATGGTTTCCGATATCTCCTTGCTATTCCATCCTTGCATTGGACATAATATCACCTACGTTTAGAAAAATCCGTTAATATACAGGGGGTTGTGGGTTGTTTAAAAGAGTCCAAACCAATTTTGTCCATAAGTTTTTTTATTATTTCTAACATTAAGAGAAACGCCTAGCTGTTCTAGAAATCGAAAATCTTGGCAACGCTTTGCTTGCACATTCACTTCCCCCTCCATAGTGATTAATACTGACCGAGCGTCAACACAACGTCAAATCATATGATGTGATCGAAGTGAGCAAAATGAAGTCAGTGGCACCCACAGTTTCCAGCAATCATATCCTCGTAAGTCCTTAGAACAACGTTGTTTTGATCCTGGTATAAAATTGTCAGCGGATTCAGGACTGTAGGTGCGCAAGTCGGTTCTGGATATTTGGAATTCATCTTCACGTGTATCAAACTTTGTATTATGGCGTGGTTGGTTGCATTTATGGGCAATTTCAAAGGAAATTTGCATCTGAAACGAGTGAAATTATTTCAATGTTTATTAAGAGCTAAAGAGTGGAATTTGTAGAAATTTCCTGGATCAAGGAGGTCATTAGCATCAAGTCCATGCTAAGGTATCTTCAAGATCTGAGGTACAACTATGAATGCGACTTTAAAATCTCCAGATGACTTACCCTCCTTGGCAAAATGCGGAAATATATGTCTCTGGAGCTATGACCCAGTCATCCCAATGCAGTTCTTTGAATGTGATTTTCAATGTCTTTAGCTTGCACGCCTCCCCCTCTATATGATTAGGAAAGACTGAATACTCTGGTGATATACTTCGGGGCAAACGGGTTGCAATCTATACATGGTAGAAAATCTGCGATTATCGATACCATTTTCGAAACTTTCAAGTCATTATGTTTGAAATTATCCGCTTTCTATGACAATTAGATTTTGATGTTTCGAGGGTCTTTAGACAACAGTAGTGAAAAAATATTTTTGGGCATTTTTCAATTTTTCTAAATAATCTTTCAACTGGATCCATTTTGACTATTCTATTCCGAAACATAGTAAGTGTTTTTTAATATTAATGTTACATGATAAAGTTTTGGTTAGCATCTACAATCAAAAGGGATAGAACTTCTTAATAAATTAACATTAACTTTCAGAAAGCAAAAACGAAAATATTTTTTTTTAAATTACTCTAAATTGAATTCTAGTTTGATAAACAACCATTTAAGAAATACTAAAGAAAAGGTTTCACAAATCACTACATAATAAAGTCCAAATAAACACTTTTTTTAACTACACTACTTAACAACTCTTTTAAGATTTTCTCTTTCTTAAATTTTTGTTTCCCACGTAACACATCACAAAAACTGCACCTTTTTATGGGTTCTTTTAATTCTCTCCTAGTAAAATAAATATAAATAATATAAAAAATGTAAATTTATTTGAAAAATACACTGTTTAGCATGCCCACCTTATTTATTCATCAAAAATTGAAAAGTAAGCTTTAAGTTTAAGTTTGACAATTCCGGTGTTTTTCGTTCATTGTCTCTGAAGTTTTTTTGATCTGATATTTTATAAGAGCTTTTTTCCAAGAGAAAATAAGCATATAATATTTTTATTTGTTATGAGTAAAGATACAAAGTAGGTAAAATTAACAAATTAGCAACATTTTTTCCACTGATTACGATGATGAAAACAATTGAACGTAGAATTTAGGAAAAAAAGCGAAAAACGTACTCTTTGAAATGGAACACCCTGTATATTTTTTTCTCTAACGTTCGTAAATCACAAAAAGAAGAAAAAAGTTTATATGCAACATTAGCCTAAAACTTCAAATAACCATTTTCCTATTATTGTTTTATTTAAGTGTAAAAAACATGGAAATAAGAATATAGAAAAAAAACTTTAAAAAAATTAATTTATATATGATTAACTATTAAATTTGTTTTAAGGTGTTTAAAAACAGCAACCTCGTACTTCAATACATTTATAAGCACGTTTTTCTATTGCCTTTAATGTTGTGCTACCATCTATCTGGTTTATTTTTTCTCCTATTGCAGCCTTTAACGTCAACGTGTTGGTATCTTTCCTTATAAATTTCTCCCTTTAAATAACCCCACAAGTGTAAATCAAGTAGGGTTATATCTGGTGCAATAGGAGGCCAAGGAATAGATCCATTTGTAGCCTTCCATTTATTGTTTGGATTACTTAGTGGACAGTATGTCACTTTCACTAAATAAGAAAGAAGTTTAAATCAAAACGGACTATAGTAAAAGGTCGTCATTACATTTAGGACGACGGCCCGAGACAATATACTCTGAAACACACCATACTTGCCGTACCTTTTCATTGGTTTTCAAAAATGCTACAACATAAGGTCGATTTGTTGTACGAAAATCTATCCCTATATACGATGAAGGTAATGCCTTGTCAGTTCCTACCGGGTGAACTGAGATATACAACTTAAATGCGTGTGCTGCTTGGGAAACCCAGGATGTGAACGCTTTGGATATATCGAAAGTGAGCCAACCGGTATAGTCTGAAATGAAAACGATTTAAAATATTTCTAGAGGCTTATTTCCTCTTATTCAGTTTCCAACTTTTACAATACCATCCCAAGACTTACACAACCAAATCCTTATAGTCTATAAATGATCATGACTTTCCTGGCCTATTATAAATGGAAGGTCATTTACCATCAATAAACTGAGCAATAAACTAATACAAAGCTCATTTATAAGCCTTTATCAGTACAACAAGGTATGTAGAGAAATTTTAAAATCCTTTGCGCTTTAGATATCATTTGAATATGTGCTTCAAGAGTACATTTGTGATTGCATAGTCGGCAATAAAATTCCAAACAGAATAAAATTGATTGTTCATCTTATAGTTCAACAGATATCGGTAATTTTTCTTTTTCTTGTCGATACATTTGGTACACTTTCACTAAATCTAGAATATCGTCCACTATCCATAATAATTAAATGCACCCTGTCGAATTTCGGCAGCAGTTTTTCAAAAATGCGGCCGTTTTGTAGCGGAAACGACTGCAATTATTCAGTAATTGCTGCTATCTTTGTCGAGTGTAGGACACTGGGGCGTAGGTTAGAACACTGGCAGGTAAATGGGTGGGTTTTGCCATTCTTAGTATACGAATGGAAACAGGTAAAATACTGAGGCACCTTTTCTTTTGATTTTATGAGATAATCAAATTTACTCTATCGTTGACTTATCCTCTACATTACGTAATACAACAGAATGTATTTATATATTTTGTGTTTCGATTTCCGTACTACTACTTTGAAGTAATTCAATTTATTGTCCCAAAAATGCCCAAGAGTAGATAAAAACTTTAATAGCATTATTGCAGTCATGATCATTCACCGTGATCAACCGATGGTCCGGACTAGTAAAAACTGGGACCATCTTTGGTTTTTTTTATATATTGTAATGAGTATGTACTACCATTTATCAAGATTTTATGATAATACTTTATCACTTGAATTAAAATTGATCAAAATAGTTAGCTTTTATTAAAATACATATTTTCTGCAAAATGAAAACATATTATTTTAGTTAACATAGCAATCTCAAACAGTACTCTTATTAAATAAATAATAAATCAATCACTAATACTATTAAAAAAATCGTTCACTTTCACTTACCCTTCGTGGTTATATTTTCGGAAATCTTTTCTAATTCAGGTATGCCCAAGAAGGTTTTAACTAGCCTATACACAGCAACTGATAGTTTTAGAAACGGTAGCTTATTGACTTTGGCATCCTGGTAAACTTTCAACTCAGCTCCGTTTATTTTATGTATTTCTGGCAATTTAGGCATGGAAAAGTAGATCCGATTCGTATTACCTAAAAAAAAATTCCGCTACATTAAATAATACCTTGGTTGTAAAATATTGATGAAAAAAACTGAATCTTGTTATTTTGAAGTTTTCGCTTAAAATGGTTAAAAGTACTATCCCACAATACATTACGCCATATTCCCATATTCATCATACAAAAAATGACAGTTGGGCGTATATGACGAGATACAAAATATACAGGGTGTTTTCTAATTGAATTTCAATAATTAAGCGGGCGATTTTTGGTTCCATTTTAAAAAGAAAACATATGAACATATGATAGTTTTAACTTTTACGGTACAGGGTGGTAAAGTTTGGCACGCATGTACAATATATCAAGTGGCAATTTAGTGTACCACAATACAATACACCAGTGGCGGGCGTAATTAATTTTACCGGTCTATTTTGGCAGACACTGATAATACGCCACTGATTTCTCTTAAAGTAATAATTATTCTTACAATTTCCAATCAGTTCTTAAGGAACTTAATTTTTGAGCCGATGTACGGTTTTCACTTACAAAAATAAAAACCTGTTCCGTACATGCTCAGTTATTCTTTTTAAGTGAAAACCGTGCGACTAAAAATAAATTAAGAGACCAAATCTGCTCATAAATAAATGCATATGCACTGACTGTCTATGAACCAATAATATTTTTATATAATTATTTAATTAGGCCGCCACTTTAAATCGATAATGTGTAAAAAATAAAATAGCTATCAAAAACAAAATATCTAGTTTTTAGTTACCGACTAGGTCCTTCGGAATTAGAAGACTGTTTTTTTTATTTTTACAATTTTAATGAAATAACATAATATAATATCATGACAATAAGATAATGAATAAACGATTCTTGTTAAAAAACAAACTACTTATTATTAGTAATTTTTAACAAAATTGTCCGTTAAAAAATTAATAACAACTTTTTGAAAAAAAGTAAAACATAGAAGTTAGAACATAAGTTATTGAAAGTGTCCTCCACCATAAAAAATACACGCTTCAGCTCTTTGAAGTATACCAGTGTTTCTTATTAAATCGCAGGAAGCTCTTACGCAATTCTTAAACTCTTTTAAAGTGTTAAATGGGGTGCGATAAAATAGACCCTTAAGATGCCCCCATAAGAAAAAGCCTAAATCATTTAAATCGGGGGATCTAGAGGGCCATCGGTTATTAAATCTGTGATTTAAACATTCTCTTCCTGCAACACTCAAGTGAGCAGAAGCGCCATCATACATGAACCACATTAAATATGGTACTTCTTCTAGCAATATGGGCAAATCATCTTCTAAAAACCGGCTATAAGTATAGCCATTTAGCCTTTCTGGCATGTAAAAGGATCCAATTAAGTAATTTTCAACAATTCCAGCAAAAACATTTACCGAAAACTGTTCTTGATATTTAAATTTTACAACTGCATGTGCAAGTTTCTGATTGCATTTCCGGAAAAATTAGCCAACAAGCGATATATGCGTAATTTTGTTCGAAAACCACTGATAAAAATTAACACGCAAGGGGAAAACTCTGGCAAGTAACGTTGATTATGATATGGGTACAACTGAAAATCGTGCAAAATTTTCCAAACCAAGACGTGCGAAATATTCAGATTATTCTTCCAATTTCTCTAGTATTAAGTTCAGAATTTTCATCAATAGAATAAAAAACTGCTTCTTGAATTTCTGGAGTCCGATGGGCTCGTTTAAAATTATTATTTGCCCTCAAAGTTCAAACCTTCTATGTACATTTGAAAATGTTCGCATACGGAGAAGAAATCAAGAAATTATAAATTAGATTAGAAACAATTAGAGATTTTTATTTTAAGGGAAATCAGCGGCGCACCATAAATGTCTTCCAAAATGGTCATGTGAAATTCCGTACGCACGCCACTGGTGTATTTAAAAAAATAATAAATAAAATAATAAATGAATAATGCCTCTTAATACATAACACATGTGTGCCAAATTTCATTAAAATATCTAAAGTAATATTACAGATATTAAAAAAATATTTTATTTTTGAAAACTTTACCACCCTGTATCTCCAAAGTTAAGAGTTTAGGAGATATCTTCATATGAAGTTTTCTTTTCAAAAAGGACCCAAAAATCGCTCGTTTAATTATTGACATTCATCCTGTGTACGGTACAACCTCCCCCGGACACATGGTGATCCAGACAAACAGTTACTTTAAATTTACAAAAAAGAATTCAATCAGAAGAAAGTGTTGTGTTGCTGAGAAAAAGCTTGTAATGAAGCTGCAGGTAGCCAATTTGACTACCTAATTAATTAAGAAACGTTTAATTATACTCACTTTAAAATCTTCAAAATCAAAATGAAGATATTCGTTACAAGTAGATAAAACAACATCTAAACTAAATCGACAAATGTACACGAGGTAGCTTTTAACAAACACTTCTTAGTTTTGCTATCAAAGAAAAAGAAGTCTTTTCGCATCTAGACTAGCAAGCAGAAAGTCTGTCAACCGGTATCAAGAAATGGAAAAGCTATGGTTTCATACTGAGTTTTGCCATCAGTGAGCAAAAATAGTTTAATTTATTCTGTCCTAGCGATGTATATGCCCCTTAATTGTACGCCCTTAATGCAACCTATGGATCGGCATGTAAAAAAATCATGGAAGAAGCTCTTACACAGCTTGATCATGAAGAAGAAAGAAGAAAAGAGTTAAAAGTTAAAATAACTGACATGGAAAATTATTCTAAGTGGATCAGAGAAGAAGACTGAATTAAAGATCTGGAAGAAAAGGCAGGATAAACTTCATTCAGATGATATTGCACATAGTAAGTAAAGCGGTTTCATCTTTTTAGATTTAAATAAAATATACATGTTAAAATAATATGGCGTCACATCAAGTACCTGCAATAAAGCTGTCGATAAAGAAATGAATTTGCAGAAGCAAGAGAAAACAAGTCATCATTAAGTAGAGTGTGCTAGATATTCAAAAAGTAAATTATGATTTAAATAAATAATAACATGAAAGAGGGAATTGAAAATAATATACATAATCCGTAATTGTGGATAAATATAATAAATAATAAATATAAAATAATTATTATTATATAATAATTATTAATATTGCTTCTATTTTATCTAGTTGTTTCCTATTATTTCGATAATAAGAATGGAAATTTGTTGCACACATCAAAAACTCAATATTTATGACTACTAAATGTTTTTGTAATAACTAAGCAGTAAACTAATTTTTTGTCATTTATTTCCAAATCGATACATACAGTGTACAGGGTCGTCCATTTAAGATACTCTTATATCTTATCACAATAAGTGCGACACTGAGAAGAAAAAGTTAAATACAAAAATTTTATTTATAGGATAGGATATATTTATAGGATAGGATAACAATAACTTTATTTTTTTTCAATTGAATGCTATGAATATTTTCAAAAATTATAATTATTCGCTTGATTTTGAGTATTTTTTGTAAAAATTGAACTGAGGTGGCTTTTACTTGATGAAAATCCATTTATCAAAATAAAGTATTTTTTGTAAAAATTGTAGTATTTTTTGTGACTACATAGCATTCCAAATTTGGAGTAGTCTTTGAGAAAAAATTAATTTTTCCATTTTTTGAGGAAAAACGATTCTTTGAGAATATATATATATATATATATATATATATATATATATATATATATATATATATATATATATATATATATATATATATATATATATATATATATATATATATGTAAACATTACTTAAATTCAATGTAAAATCAACAATCAACAATTACAAAATGTTACCCTGTACAAAAATCATTTAAAACTTATCATTAAAAATTCCTTAACACAAAAACTACCAAACATATTAGTTTATCAACAATACAGATTAATTATTGGATTACATAACATATATATAATTTTTTTTTTAATTTTATTCCAATGTAAATTAGTAATTAAAGAAATTTGGTTTAATTTTTTTTATATTATTGGCGGTTTGAATAAACATAAACTTTGCTTTTTCCAAATGTCTGTTTGGCTTACTATACAGAAAAATAAAAATTTGTTTTTGTGAACCTAAAAATGCTTAATGCTCTATCTAATAATAACATTATTTTATATGGCGCACATAAAATAAATAAAAATTCTGTTTTAATAATGTATAAATTCTAAGATCATGTTTGGCGTACTGGTCTTGCGCACAAAAATAGTAAATCCAGCTCTTTATATTTTCTCCAATTTCTCAAAAGAAAATCAAATTAATAAAATTCTTTAAAGCCCTTCTCATTTCATTCATCTCCTATGGTTTCCGATATCTCCTTGCTATTCCATCCTTGCATTGGACATAATATCACCTACGTTTAGAAAAATCCGTTAATATACAGGGGGTTGTGGGTTGTTTAAAAGAGTCCAAACCAATTTTGTCCATAAGTTTTTTTATTATTTCTAACATTAAGAGAAACGCCTAGCTGTTCTAGAAATCGAAAATCTTGGCAACGCTTTGCTTGCACATTCACTTCCCCCTCCATAGTGATTAATACTGACCGAGCGTCAACACAACGTCAAATCATATGATGTGATCGAAGTGAGCAAAATGAAGTCAGTGGCACCCACAGTTTCCAGCAATCATATCCTCGTAAGTCCTTAGAACAACGTTGTTTTGATCCTGGTATAAAATTGTCAGCGGATTCAGGACTGTAGGTGCGCAAGTCGGTTCTGGATATTTGGAATTCATCTTCACGTGTATCAAACTTTGTATTATGGCGTGGTTGGTTGCATTTATGGGCAATTTCAAAGGAAATTTGCATCTGAAACGAGTGAAATTATTTCAATGTTTATTAAGAGCTAAAGAGTGGAATTTGTAGAAATTTCCTGGATCAAGGAGGTCATTAGCATCAAGTCCATGCTAAGGTATCTTCAAGATCTGAGGTACAACTATGAATGCGACTTTAAAATCTCCAGATGACTTACCCTCCTTGGCAAAATGCGGAAATATATGTCTCTGGAGCTATGACCCAGTCATCCCAATGCAGTTCTTTGAATGTGATTTTCAATGTCTTTAGCTTGCACGCCTCCCCCTCTATATGATTAGGAAAGACTGAATACTCTGGTGATATACTTCGAGGCAAACGGGTTGCAATCTATACATGGTAGAAAATCTGCGATTATCGATACCATTTTCGAAACTTTCAAGTCATTATGTTTGAAATTATCCGCTTTCTATGACAATTAGATTTTGATGTTTCGAGGGTCTTTAGACAACAGTAGTGAAAAAATATTTTTGGGCATTTTTCAATTTTTCTAAATAATCTTTCAACTGGATCCATTTTGACTATTCTATTCCGAAACATAGTAAGTGTTTTTTAATATTAATGTTACATGATAAAGTTTTGGTTAGCATCTACAATCAAAAGGGATAGAACTTCTTAATAAATTAACATTAACTTTCAGAAAGCAAAAACGAAAATATTTTTTTTTAAATTACTCTAAATTGAATTCTAGTTTGATAAACAACCATTTAAGAAATACTAAAGAAAAGGTTTCACAAATCACTACATAATAAAGTCCAAATAAACACTTTTTTTAACTACACTACTTAACAACTCTTTTAAGATTTTCTCTTTCTTAAATTTTTGTTTCCCACGTAACACATCACAAAAACTGCACCTTTTTATGGGTTCTTTTAATTCTCTCCTAGTAAAATAAATATAAATAATATAAAAAATGTAAATTTATTTGAAAAATACACTGTTTAGCATGCCCACCTTATTTATTCATCAAAAATTGAAAAGTAAGCTTTAAGTTTAAGTTTGACAATTCCGGTGTTTTTCGTTCATTGTCTCTGAAGTTTTTTTGATCTGATATTTTATAAGAGCTTTTTTCCAAGAGAAAATAAGCATATAATATTTTTATTTGTTATGAGTAAAGATACAAAGTAGGTAAAATTAACAAATTAGCAACATTTTTTCCACTGATTACGATGATGAAAACAATTGAACGTAAAATTTAGGAAAAAAAGCGAAAAACGTACTCTTTGAAATGGAACACCCTGTATATTTTTTTCTCTAACGTTCGTAAATCACAAAAAGAAGAAAAAAGTTTATATGCAACATTAGCCTAAAACTTAAAATAACCATTTTCCTATTATTGTTTTATTTAAGTGTAAAAAACATGGAAATAAGAATATAGAAAAAAAACTTTAAAAAAATTAATTTATATATGATTAACTATTAAATTTGTTTTAAGGTGTTTAAAAACAGCAACCTCGTACTTCAATACATTTATAAGCACGTTTTTCTATTGCCTTTAATGTTGTGCTACCATCTATCTGGTTTATTTTTTCTCCTATTGCAGCCTTTAACGTCAACGTGTTGGTATCTTTCCTTATAAATTTCTCCCTTTAAATAACCCCACAAGTGGAAATCAAGTAGGGTTATATCTGGTGCAATAGGAGGCCAAGGAATAGATCCATTTGTAGCCTTCCATTTATTGTTTGGATTACTTAGTGGACAGTATGTCACTTTCACTAAATAAGAAAGAAGTTTAAATCAAAACGGACTATAGTAAAAGGTCGTCATTACATTTAGGACGACGGCCCGAGACAATATACTCTGAAACACACCATACTTGCCGTACCTTTTCATTGGTTTTCAAAAATGCTACAACATAAGGTCGATTTGTTGTACGAAAATCTATCCCTATATACGATGAAGGTAATGCCTTGTCAGTTCCTACCGGGTGAACTGAGATATACAACTTAAATGCGTGTGCTGCTTGGGAAACCCAGGATGTGAACGCTTTGGATATATCGAAAGTGAGCCAACCGGTATAGTCTGAAATGAAAACGATTTAAAATATTTCTAGAGGCTTATTTCCTCTTATTCAGTTTCCAACTTTTACAATACCATCCCAAGACTTACACAACCAAATCCTTATAGTCTATAAATGATCATGACTTTCCTGGCCTATTATAAATGGAAGGTCATTTACCATCAATAAACTGAGCAATAAACTAATACAAAGCTCATTTATAAGCCTTTATCAGTACAACAAGGTATGTAGAGAAATTTTAAAATCCTTTGCGCTTTAGATATCATTTGAATATGTGCTTCAAGAGTACATTTGTGATTGCATAGTCGGCAATAAAATTCCAAACAGAATAAAATTGATTGTTCATCTTATAGTTCAACAGATATCGGTAATTTTTCTTTTTCTTGTCGATACATTTGGTACACTTTCACTAAATCTAGAATATCGTCCACTATCCATAATAATTAAATGCACCCTGTCGAATTTCGGCAGCAGTTTTTCAAAAATGCGGCCGTTTTGTAGCGGAAACGACTGCAATTATTCAGTAATTGCTGCTATCTTTGTCGAGTGTAGGACACTGGGGCGTAGGTTAGAACACTGGCAGGTAAATGGGTGGGTTTTGCCATTCTTAGTATACGAATGGAAACAGGTAAAATACTGAGGCACCTTTTCTTTTGATTTTATGAGATAATCAAATTTACTCTATCGTTGACTTATCCTCTACATTACGTAATACAACAGAATGTATTTATATATTTTGTGTTTCGATTTCCGTACTACTACTTTGAAGTAATTCAATTTATTGTCCCAAAAATGCCCAAGAGTAGATAAAAACTTTAATAGCATTATTGCAGTCATGATCATTCACCGTGATCAACCGATGGTCCGGACTAGTAAAAACTGGGACCATCTTTGGTTTTTTTTATATATTGTAATGAGTATGTACTACCATTTATCAAGATTTTATGATAATACTTTATCACTTGAATTAAAATTGATCAAAATAGTTAGCTTTTATTAAAATACATATTTTCTGCAAAATGAAAACATATTATTTTAGTTAACATAGCAATCTCAAACAGTACTCTTATTAAATAAATAATAAATCAATCACTAATACTATTAAAAAAATCGTTCACTTTCACTTACCCTTCGTGGTTATATTTTCGGAAATCTTTTCTAATTCAGGTATGCCCAAGAAGGTTTTAACTAGCCTATACACAGCAACTGATAGTTTTAGAAACGGTAGCTTATTGACTTTGGCATCCTGGTAAACTTTCAACTCAGCTCCGTTTATTTTATGTATTTCTGGCAATTTAGGCATGGAAAAGTAGATCCGATTCGTATTACCTAAAAAAAAATTCCGCTACATTAAATAATACCTTGGTTGTAAAATATTGATGAAAAAAACTGAATCTTGTTATTTTGAAGTTTTCGCTTAAAATGGTTAAAAGTACTATCCCACAATACATTACGCCATATTCCCATATTCATCATACAAAAAATGACAGTTGGGCGTATATGACGAGATACAAAATATACAGGGTGTTTTCTAATTGAATTTCAATAATTAAGCGGGCGATTTTTGGTTCCATTTTAAAAAGAAAACATATGAACATATGATAGTTTTAACTTTTACGGTACAGGGTGGTAAAGTTTGGCACGCATGTACAATATATCAAGTGGCAATTTAGTGTACCACAATACAATACACCAGTGGCGGGCGTAATTAATTTTACCGGTCTATTTTGGCAGACACTGATAATACGCCACTGATTTCTCTTAAAGTAATAATTATTCTTACAATTTCCAATCAGTTCTTAAGGAACTTAATTTTTGAGCCGATGTACGGTTTTCACTTACAAAAATAAAAACCTGTTCCGTACATGCTCAGTTATTCTTTTTAAGTGAAAACCGTGCGACTAAAAATAAATTAAGAGACCAAATCTGCTCATAAATAAATGCATATGCACTGACTGTCTATGAACCAATAATATTTTTATATAATTATTTAATTAGGCCGCCACTTTAAATCGATAATGTGTAAAAAATAAAATAGCTATCAAAAACAAAATATCTAGTTTTTAGTTACCGACTAGGTCCTTCGGAATTAGAAGACTGTTTTTTTTATTTTTACAATTTTAATGAAATAACATAATATAATATCATGACAATAAGATAATGAATAAACGATTCTTGTTAAAAAACAAACTACTTATTATTAGTAATTTTTAACAAAATTGTCCGTTAAAAAATTAATAACAACTTTTTGAAAAAAAGTAAAACATAGAAGTTAGAACATAAGTTATTGAAAGTGTCCTCCACCATAAAAAATACACGCTTCAGCTCTTTGAAGTATACCAGTGTTTCTTATTAAATCGCAGGAAGCTCTTACGCAATTCTTAAACTCTTTTAAAGTGTTAAATGGGGTGCGATAAAATAGACCCTTAAGATGCCCCCATAAGAAAAAGCCTAAATCATTTAAATCGGGGGATCTAGAGGGCCATCGGTTATTAAATCTGTGATTTAAACATTCTCTTCCTGCAACACTCAAGTGAGCAGAAGCGCCATCATACATGAACCACATTAAATATGGTACTTCTTCTAGCAATATGGGCAAATCATCTTCTAAAAACCGGCTATAAGTATAGCCATTTAGCCTTTCTGGCATGTAAAAGGATCCAATTAAGTAATTTTCAACAATTCCAGCAAAAACATTTACCGAAAACTGTTCTTGATATTTAAATTTTACAACTGCATGTGCAAGTTTCTGATTGCATTTCCGGAAAAATTAGCCAACAAGCGATATATGCGTAATTTTGTTCGAAAACCACTGATAAAAATTAACACGCAAGGGGAAAACTCTGGCAAGTAACGTTGATTATGATATGGGTACAACTGAAAATCGTGCAAAATTTTCCAAACCAAGACGTGCGAAATATTCAGATTATTCTTCCAATTTCTCTAGTATTAAGTTCAGAATTTTCATCAATAGAATAAAAAACTGCTTCTTGAATTTCTGGAGTCCGATGGGCTCGTTTAAAATTATTATTTGCCCTCAAAGTTCAAACCTTCTATGTACATTTGAAAATGTTCGCCTATCTGATATGATGACTCTATGCTAGATTATTTTATACACCAAATTAATAAGATGCAAAGAACTGAATTTAAAAACTGATATCACACAACCGCATTAACAACAGAATTAATAATTCTTACCGACACCGCATACTACAATGATAAGAAATAAATATAAAGATTTTAAAAATACACCTCAGTGTTTACTTTGTATTCGTAGTTCGATTTTTTGAAGTATTTTAATAGAACATATAGAGAATTACTTAAGTAAACATGCTGTCATATTAACGATATTGTTATGAGCATACGGAGAAGAAATCAAGAAATTATAAATTAGATTAGAAACAATTAGAGATTTTTATTTTAAGGGAAATCAGCGGCGCACCATAAATGTCTTCCAAAATGGTCATGTGAAATTCCGTACGCACGCCACTGGTGTATTTAAAAAAATAATAAATAAAATAATAAATGAATAATGCCTCTTAATACATAACACATGTGTGCCAAATTTCATTAAAATATCTAAAGTAATATTACAGATATTAAAAAAATATTTTATTTTTGAAAACTTTACCACCCTGTATCTCCAAAGTTAAGAGTTTAGGAGATATCTTCATATGAAGTTTTCTTTTCAAAAAGGACCCAAAAATCGCTCGTTTAATTATTGACATTCATCCTGTGTACGGTACAACCTCCCCCGGACACATGGTGATCCAGACAAACAGTTACTTTAAATTTACAAAAAAGAATTCAATCAGAAGAAAGTGTTGTGTTGCTGAGAAAAAGCTTGTAATGAAGCTGCAGGTAGCCAATTTGACTACCTAATTAATTAAGAAACGTTTAATTATACTCACTTTAAAATCTTCAAAATCAAAATGAAGATATTCGTTACAAGTAGATAAAACAACATCTAAACTAAATCGACAAATGTACACGAGGTAGCTTTTAACAAACACTTCTTAGTTTTGCTATCAAAGAAAAAGAAGTCTTTTCGCATCTAGACTAGCAAGCAGAAAGTCTGTCAACCGGTATCAAGAAATGGAAAAGCTATGGTTTCATACTGAGTTTTGCCATCAGTGAGCAAAAATAGTTTAATTTATTCTGTCCTAGCGATGTATATGCCCCTTAATTGTACGCCCCCTTAATGCAACCTATGGATCGGCATGTAAAAAAATCATGGAAGAAGCTCTTACACAGCTTGATCATGAAGAAGAAAGAAGAAAAGAGTTAAAAGTTAAAATAACTGACATGGAAAATTATTCTAAGTGGATCAGAGAAGAAGACTGAATTAAAGATCTGGAAGAAAAGGCAGGATAAACTTCATTCAGATGATATTGCACATAGTAAGTAAAGCGGTTTCATCTTTTTAGATTTAAATAAAATATACATGTTAAAATAATATGGCGTCACATCAAGTACCTGCAATAAAGCTGTCGATAAAGAAATGAATTTGCAGAAGCAAGAGAAAACAAGTCATCATTAAGTAGAGTGTGCTAGATATTCAAAAAGTAAATTATGATTTAAATAAATAATAACATGAAAGAGGGAATTGAAAATAATATACATAATCCGTAATTGTGGATAAATATAATAAATAATAAATATAAAATAATTATTATTATATAATAATTATTAATATTGCTTCTATTTTATCTAGTTGTTTCCTATTATTTCGATAATAAGAATGGAAATTTGTTGCACACATCAAAAACTCAATATTTATGACTACTAAATGTTTTTGTAATAACTAAGCAGTAAACTAATTTTTTGTCATTTATTTCCAAATCGATACATACAGTGTACAGGGTCGTCCATTTAAGATACTCTTATATCTTATCACAATAAGTGCGACACTGAGAAGAAAAAGTTAAATACAAAAATTTTATTTATAGGATAGGATATATTTATAGGATAGGATAACAATAACTTTATTTTTTTTCAATTGAATGCTATGAATATTTTCAAAAATTATAATTATTCGCTTGATTTTGAGTATTTTTTGTAAAAATTGAACTGAGGTGGCTTTTACTTGATGAAAATCCATTTATCAAAATAAAGTATTTTTTGTAAAAATTGTAGTATTTTTTGTGACTACATAGCATTCCAAATTTGGAGTAGTCTTTGAGAAAAAATTAATTTTTCCATTTTTTGAGGAAAAACGATTCTTTGAGAATATATATATATATATATATATATATATATATATATATATATATATATATATATATATATATATATATATATATATATATATATATATATATATATATATATATATATATATACGAGTATATATACTTCTATGTAAACATTACTTAAATTCAATGTAAAATCAACAATCAACAATTACAAAATGTTACCCTGTACAAAAATCATTTAAAACTTATCATTAAAAATTCCTTAACACAAAAACTACCAAACATAGGTGTTGATTTCTCTGGGGTAAGTAAAAGCCTTCTTATATAAGTACAATACGGAAAATTGTTTCGACAAATCTTGTCAAAAATGACGTGCGCAGGGCCTTAAATAATTAACAGTTTTTCCTATAACGGAGCCTTAATTTTATATATTATTTTATTAACTTCTACCAATTTTGATTGATTAAATAGATAACGAATATAATTTGCTCAACTTACCAATGCGATGCTCCCTCTTATTTGTATTGTGTAGAGTGACAATCATATCACTCTTTTGGATTTTTGTTATATCCTCTTCCCGAAGATTGTTCGTGTACCTTTTCACTCTGTTATTCGAAACGTCTATAAACCGAAATGCGTCCAAGAGAAACTGCGAGCTTTCTGTTCCCATACTTTTCCTTGGAACTGTTCTCGGTCCAGTCGGAATCCCTAATAGATTAAGAAGCACTTTTTGAAATTTTACTTTTTGTTCGTCGGAAAGCTTAAGTTCGTTGTCCAAGTCACACGCGATAATGCAAAGACATTGCGTCAGTAAAATTAGCAAAATTTCTCTGGATAGCTTCATTTCTAAAGATAACTTTCGGTAGCTAAAGCTCTGAGTAAAATTTGGCAGCTTATTTAAAGAAAATCATCAAAATTGGGAACATTAACCAGTCGTTTAACTACATTAAATGCCTTTTGTAGGTCACCTGAAACTAATGGGTACTTAATTTGACATACAATTGATGTAGTGGTATATCGGTGCAATTACCTTATAATAATAACCATTCTGACGTAGAGATGATTCTTAATTGCATCACTGCAATAAGATTGCTCTGAAACCCAATCGGTTTTTGTGGATAATTCAAACATTTTTTGCCGACATTGTTTTATATTGTCCCGGATAATTTACTTAATTAGATTTCGCGTTTGGCCACAAGTCTAACCATTAATGTTATTACAGTAAATGTTGATCTTTTTCCAGATTAACGAACCACAAAAAATAAGTGTTTCTGACTTGACTTGAAACTTAATCTATCGAAGAAATAAAAATACGTCTAAAACTGAAACTAAAATTGGGAATTTTTAGTATAGATCCATAGAAGTGGTTCATATTTAATGGACAAAATATATTATACAGGGTGGTTACGAATGACCATAAAATATGTTTTTTCTAATTAAAAAGACCAATTTTTTGGCATTTTTATTGGGTTTGGTATTTAATTCTGTATTACTTAATATATGTAACTTATATTACAAAAATTGGTAGCTTAGAAGTTATGGCCAATTTGGTGCAACCTATATATATTTCTATTCAATCAAAGTTTTTTTTAAATATGGATTACCTAAATTCAATAATAAACCAGCAGGTAATACAAAACGTTACCCTGTAAAAAAACTATTTAAAATCTAAACCGCCTCAACCATTAACTTTGTACAAGGTGTCCGAAATCAGATTTTCCAACTCCTTAATACAAAAACTACGAACGATAGAAAAATGAATTGAATAGAAAAGCTGCATAGTTTCACCTAGATTTTTAAATTTTTAGTTTTCCATATATACGGGGTGCTCCATTCCTCTGGGGAAAATACTAGCTTTCTTATTTTAAATACAATATGGAAAAGTGTATGGGGAATGTTCACCGAAACAAATTTCAATACAATGCAATCCCTACAAAATAAAATTTTAAAGAAATTATATAATTATGATAGGCTAGCGAAAACAGATTTTTATTAAATTAAACGAATATTTTTGGTGATTATTTTATTGTTATTTTTGATAGTTTATTGTCTGGATTATAATAGATATTTATTATGTTATTAATGAACACTCTGTATCAATATTACATGAGTTTAATATTCTCCAGGCCAGAGCTCAATGCACTGCTTAGAGAATTATTTAGGTGAAGAAACAAAGTTTAAAAAAAATCGTACACGGTAAAATATGACCATTTAGCTTTTCATTTTGGGACACCGAGAATGATTATTAAGGATTTCTATAAGAACAGAATAAAGGGTCAATTAATTCATATTCATTAGTACCTAGAATCTAACTATACTAATTTCTGCGAAGCTCGGCTACTCCTATAGATTGTCGGTTTTTGGTTTAATTTCGATAATTCTTTTCTTTTTGAAAGATCTTACTAAAGGCACTGAAACGATTTCTTCATGTAAAGTTATGTCAAAGTGATACAGTTTCTTGAAGTGGAAAGTGGAAAATACTTAAAACAGATTTGTTCAAATTGTGAATGACAACACATTCGTATTCATTACTACCTAAAAGTCACTAGACCAATGACCAAAGTTTTTAATATTTTTATAGATATAAATATTTACCTTGTAAATAATGATTATTTTATGACTGAATTTAAGATCTTACAAACAAATTTGAAATAAAATTATCAAAACCGAACCATATACAAATATTTTACGTAGGTAGACAATTATTAGTGGGGCACACTGTATACATTCAAGACTGCATATCTGAGACTGGTTGTTGGCTTTTAATTGCTAATAATATTCTGCTCATTACATTTTTTCTAAACGAATAAATGTTTTTATTACTATTATTTGGTATCTGGAAACCAGTATAAAGAAGCAATTTTTCAAATTAGTTACTAGTTTTCTATTCTGTTTTGTGCTTTATTGTGAACCATTTTTGCTAAATAATAATATCTTATCATTTCTGAGTGATTGGCAAAGTTAATATTAATAATTATATTATATTTTAAATGCTTTTTTCTTAATCATTGTATTGTGACTGTTCCATTTAGTTTTACGAACATTGGGAATATGCCTACGTAGCTTTTTTTTATTAGTCGTTATACAGAAGAAAACAAGCCCGCGATAACGTGATAGTGCTTAACTCATACAACTGCTAAAAATACTAGTTATTTGGCTTTTTCATAATTATAAGCAAAGTTTTCCCATCTTTAAATGAGTAACTATATAGTCTCTGTAAGAATTTCAGCAAATTCATATTTTGGTTAGTTGCCAACTTAGTACACACTTCATTGCAGCTGACCATTTACTTGACCAAATCTTTACCATGGATACAACAAAGGTCAAAGAATAGAACCCTGTGCCACTCTGCGTGAAAGCACCACTATTCAAACTCGGAAGTAGCTTAATATTTTTGCCTATTATTAAATCATTTCCCTATAACATCGCCACCGTACTACCTTTCGCAATATTACCCGCAGCGTTACACAGAAATCTTGGCAAAATGATCATCGCCCTTTAAGTTTATTTCAGAAACTCTCAATAGGTGGCGCCGGTCTACGAAATGGAACTGGAATCGGTACTTCTTAAAAATACTGGTTTAGGCAACCAGATAACCAAATCAGATTGTGTTAAGACACCAACCGCGAAGTGGTGCTTTTAGAATATTTCAAGTTACTTTTTGCTCAGTCAGTTTGAATTGTTTTCGGTTATCAAGAATGTTGTAGAGAATTTGTCGTTCCTGGTGGTCTTAATACATTCAGTGAGAAAGTGGGTTTCCAATAATTGATACTTCTCTGTTTAAATCAAAATCCGATTTTCCATAACAAGAGCGAAAAACAAATATGTAATAAAATAATAAATAAAATAACGAAAATTTTAAGTAAAGGGATATAGAACTGACAGCATAATCTATTACAATGTTCAGCGCCATCTATGGGACGCAAAAGTATACAATTAAGCTAAGTTTCTCGATATCTTGGGTCAGAATGGAGGTTGCTAATTGGAGAAAATTAAAGACTAGGCAAATTGGTTGCAGGTTGGTTTTTTCCTTTTTAATCAATGATACTCAAATCTCTTTATTTTAAATGTGGTTGTGATGATTGCAGTTAAAGTTCGAAGTGACGAAAATAAAGTTGAATCCGTTGCACCTTATCTTAAAATTGTACACGCTGAGAGAAAGTCATAAGATTTTATTAGTTTTTTGAAAGTAAAATTATTTTCTCTTATAAGCGATGATTTTTATGACGTGTTTAATAATATTCCCAAAAGGCGAAAAGACAATCTTTTGGCACTTCAACCTTCATTGGTTTTATTTTTCTTGAACAATTTTCACGGAAAATACGATAAGATTACTTCAAAAATTTGAAAATTTTTACATTTACTTATTGTTGACTCTATGTGTCAAATTATAAAATATATTATAGTATATCAGATTAGTGTATTTTAAGTAAGTAAGTAAATTTAAGCCAAATATTTGAAAAATATTTTCACAATCGTCTCTATGATTTTTTTAGGAGGATCTGTGAAAAAATCATCAATTTGGTTTCACTCAAGGGATAAGTACTAATGACGCAATGGTGGAGCTTACCAACGAAATTACTAACAATCTGGGCTGTGGCAACACTTTGAAAGACTTCTCTTATCCCCTGTTTTATGTGGTTAACATATCTCTACATAAAACAGTCCATCTTTGTTATATTATGAGATCTAGGTGGCCATCTAATAGGATCACATCTTCCTATCCACCATTAAGACAATAAATTATTTAAGTAGTTCAACACATGCGTGTAGGATTTCCATCATGAAGGAACTGCATTCTCTGCCTCACTTCGTTTGAAATAGTTTCTGACATATTTTAAAAGCTGTGCTGTAAAAAGTCGAAGTAAATTTGAACATTTAAAAAAAATGAAAAAGAAGTATCTATTAGTGCTATAAGAAACAAGATGTTCTATTTTAAAATATATAATTTTGGTTTCCCACATGAATTATGAACATTTAAAAATAATGTACCCTGTATATCGCTTAGTTTTCGAGATATTCCACAAAATTCCCAATACGTTGGAAAAATGTTACTTACATTGCAGCATTCCTTAGAGAACAAAACACATTCAGATGTCCAGATGTTCACTTTTATAGAAGTACATCGTTGTTTTCGTGAACGTGGATTTAGCGCTCCAAAATCGCATTGGTTGTCGAAGGAATAACAACGGAATTCTTCAAGTTTTCGACATTGTATACTTCAAATAAGCCATCGAGTTTGGAAACCAAGTAGAACTATTACATAATTCCCAGAATAAGTCGCCAATAACAGCAGCGATCAATCCAAGTGCATAAAATCGAACAAAATAGAGGCTTTTATCCATTTCAGGGCACAAATCACTGAAGTAGTGTTAAAAACACGCGCGATTCCGACAAATTTAGTCGACAGGGCCGCAATAAATTGCAAGTTTGTTTCATTCTACGACATCCGGATTTCTGCCGTTGCTTATTGTTTTATGTATTGGAGGCGTGAAATTGCAGCAACAAAATTTTCTTAGGTTTCAATCAGACGCAAAACAAATATTGGCAATGCGTAAAAGTCTAAGCTTCGGACCGAGTTAAAACTGAAGGACTTTCGGTAGGCAGACATATATTTATAACCATGTTTCGTTAACACTGTAAGTTTTAAAACTCACAAAATGTACCTCTAGATAGAGCGATTTTTTACTAGAGTAACTGTTGATATAAACACGTAAGTGTTTGAAGACGTTCCATTTAATTAACTTGAAGAATGTTGGATGTTAAATCCGCTAGATTATGGGTATGGTTTATGCAAAAAATAAACACTAGCAGAACGCCTGTAATACCCTAAGAAATGAGGCT